CACACAGACAATCTCTCGACGATATGCGTTTTTGCTTGCTGTAGCAGCGTTATAGCGCAACGCTACTATAGCGCATTAAAAACGCATAAGGACAGCCTCCTTTCCTGGATTAAAAAAGTTAGCATTTCCGGATAGTTCAGAACCATCAGTGGGAAAAAATTTCACTGAAATCAAACTTTTTGCGTCGCTAAAGAAAATGTACTGTATCGATGAAAAGTGAAGTTGTCTTTTTTATATGCTTTTAAAAAGCGTTATTTTTAGAAATCAAGCGGACGATGCTTGTTTTTGTAACTTTAGAAATGTGTTTATCCTGCTTAATCGTTGCTTCAGTCGGACCAACTGTGCGTCCACTCGGATGTCCCTTCATTTCTGTTTCCATTTTATAAAATTTGCCTGTAGTGCAGGAGGCGTTATATTTGGAATGGTTTGCAAAATGAGCACCATCAGTATTCTTCCACAACGGCTGTTGCTTACTCCTATGGATTCTGCTGCAAAAGTGCTTGGAAATTGACGACTTTAAATTTGTGTCTTTTTCTGCTCAGTGCAATAGTGCGGCACTTTTGCTGCACAGAGAGTGAAGATGATTTTTGAACGTTGTTTGCTCTCGGCTGCTATGAAATGTTTATTTCATTAAATGTCGAATTAGCATAAATTATATGTGAAGAGGCGGGGAAGCACATGCACTGCATGAGCAGCGGTATTACACGCAATGCCTCACATTCAGCACACTGAGAAATTCGTGAGATTAACTATGTGTGGCTATGAATTATATAAAACAACAGACTACAAGCTGCTCTGTTCTGCATCACCACACGATGTTTTTCATTTCAGTTATGTTTACCGTGATTGCCAGCACTTAAAGTTCTATCGAGGGAAGGCCGAACGCAGCGATTTTTGGCAGAGTGTACTCGTAGCGAAGGTAATGCAAGGTATGGCCTTCAGGGCAAAAAGCGCACTCGTGCCAGGAGGAACGAAATACAACTGACATTTTTGAGCTGCACAACAAAAAACGCAGCAGCCTGGTAGCCTTTGCAGTGTGGTGAGTATACAATGATGAGTAATGTAACAATGAATGAAACTGGGTACAATTTCAACTAACAGGCGTACGTAATGGATACCATATAGCACTTTTAGAACGCGGAGCAGCAGACACAAGTAATAATAATAATAACAATAATGGCGTAACACAACGCTGCGTGCTCGCATGCATCTAGTAATGATGATGGTAACTCAGGATGATTGAGTAGTGGACTGGCTCATGCCCTGGGATGTATGATGCTAAACAGTGAACAGTACATAAAATAATTAGATGAAGAAATTTTAAACTGAACGACTGAATGTCACGAGCGCAAAAGGTCTCTGAGAGCAACAGTACAATCGCTACTATGCTCATTTTCAACGGTTCAAAATAGTCTCTACCAAGGGTTGGGATCGCACCGCACTCGAAGATGAAGTCCCGAAAAAACAACGATAATACTGTGCCCAGAAGAAAAGTATATGCAGAAGAAGAATGTATTGCCCTCTAATTTTACACATATCTCAAAATGCTTCCAGTCCTTCCCCAGACGTACAAAATTAATTGGAAACTAAAAGCACTAGTCTAAAAGTGAGTGAAGATACCAAAATGCAAGTGCAATTATACACATTTTGTCACAGATTAAGGTCCCATAATTTTTTTTTTTTGCAATTATAACGCTTGAAGTCTGGAGGGTTAAGAATAAGGGAGACACAAAGGAACCGAAGAATTGACTTTACAGGACCAAAATTGTCAAGTTCCGATTTCCCTATTTATGAAATTGCATATTCGGAAATACAAAGGCTGACCATAATGCAGTATTTGCATAAACAACATGAAGACGCACAGAATGACAATATGACACATTGTGAGAAATTTTTAAACTGATACAGCACACACAGTTCGTTGTGAACCAATTTAGAAATGGTCAAAAAAATAAAAGTGACAGCAGGACCGAACCAAAAATTATTCCCAACTTAAGTATAAAATGGAACAATCCTGCATCAAAAAACCACTATCATTTCTAATAATACAACGCTCAGAAAAAAGAGCACTGTGAGTCTCTTTGTAGCCCGTAAATACAGATTTTCGAACATGCGTGAAGGACATAAGCAATACATACATGAGTGATCGAAGAGAATATGTTTCAAACAGGAATGAGTAACTTTTAAAACGAGAAAACTTCTACAAAAACCGAACTTCCGCCATATCCCCCACCCCCCGCTATAAGCAATCACCTCCAAAAAGCATAAGGTCCATAATGAGAGGAGAACCGAAGAAACACCCCCTGACAGCAGAAGGAATGTAGTAGGCTCCCGCAGAATGAACGAAGAAAGAAAGCAAGAAAACGAACGCCAGAACCGCCAGCAGGGCTCACGCTCAGGTGATGCAACTTCTATCGTAGCAACCACGGAGAAGTTGCCACCTGTCGAGGAAGATCCTGAGAACTACAACTGAAGCCAAAATATAGAAATATTCTTTTAAATGAAAAGGCTTAAGTTTTAGACTTCCAAACGATTCCTGTGTCTCTTTAGCTAAATTTTTTGTCACCCTTTTCTGAAATTTACAGTTAGTCATCCAATTTTTCTCCTTCTCTTCCCACAAACGTAAAATTTTGATGCCATCTTAATGCGTTATAGAAGTGCGACCTAAGTATTACGCAGTTGCGTTTACTTCTACACCAGAGGCAAAATTCTTTAGAAAATAAGCAACTGGACTGCCAGCTTCTTACGGATAATCCTGATACGGTAACTACATGATTATTCATACTCCCTCGAAGCCAGCACAATTTCAGCTAAAAAAAATGTTTGTGATAAATGATTTGCAAGAACATCAATGTGCACACTATGCACGCACAAAGGCTATGTGAACAGCTAGCAAAAAAAAAAAAAAAAAAATGATTAATTTGATGAAGCGATGTGTAAATAAAGGGTGCGATATTACCCATCCAGCAACACCGCCAATCATCTAAAGCATGCCCTTCACCAAGGCTCCTGAAGCAAGATCGCTGCTAATGCAGCAAAATCCCCAAGCCTTTTTTTTTTTTTTTAAATTAACTGGTGGTCTGGACTACGCTGAGGAAAAACAGAAAACTCAGTTAAGGAACTATCCAAGAGGCACCACGGAAAAAGACTGTCATGTTGAATGAAAGCGAATTAACGACCACAGTAGTTTCTAAGTCAATGACTGCTGAGAATCATGGCCGCTGGAAGAAGAAACCGGAGTTTCAACGCTGAAATTATAAAGTGTAGATCCTTGCTCACGTTCCGTTATTCCAAGAATTTGTTGCACGAATGCTCCCATTGAGAATCTACGATCATTGCGGGCATCATTTAGAAATTTATGAGCCAAAAGATCAGGATATTTTGGCCTGTCGTTGTAATCTTTCGTTAAGCTGCAAAAAAAAAAATTACAAAATAATTTGCAGAGAAACATGGAGTAAGGTTATGAACAAAGATTTCACGCAAAATGATGACTTCAGCTAATAATATAAATCTTCGATACAACTAATTAAATGACTTTCTACAACTATATTTAAAAAGAAATTCCACAGCTCGAAAAAACAAAAATTGGGCGCTGACGAGTATATGAAATTGTCAAGAATAATTTCACACGCAGCGTGATAGTTTTTGCGAAACAGCTCAGGTCAGAAATGTTTCACAAATCCAAGAATGCCCTGTTTAATTCGACCCACAAGAACTACTAGATAGCTTATCAATTTCGAGGCTTAAACAACTGAAATATGATAGAATAAACATACCACTGAGCAACAAAATCCTGAAAGTTATCGGAGAAGCCTAAGGTGGGAGATAATCTTGGCGCTGGTTCGTGAACCACCTGTTTCAGCTGCTCGAATGGTGTTTTCCATTTAGAATATGGATGCAAACCGGTTGCTATTTCCACCTTAAATAGATTTCGGTTATTTTACAATTTTTTTGCCTGATGGGAACGGAAATATATTTTGGCAGCAGAGCGTTAAAAAATGCCCGGTCTGAAGAAATAATTCAATATAACAAAATATGGCTAACTTGTGCTTCATAAAAATGCAACGTTTTCACTAAATATTTTATCGTCACCAAAGACTTATTGGTTTTTTAACAGATAAAAACAGCTGGCTTAAGTTTCAGTCCAAAAAAAGTAGATCAAAGAACGAGGAACAAAAATCTGTCTAGGAAAGATCATTTTTTTCTCATCAGGATTTCAAG